ATATGGGCCCCTAGTGTTTTCAGTCGGTTGATCTAATTTTTCAACGTCGAGATTTTTTTTTCTGCTTTATATTTTTTGTTATAGTATAGCTGTTCTTGTGTTTTGTTTGGCCTTTACGCGTTGGTAATGCAGCGCTATACCTCAAAAATCGTAGGGAGTTGTGTGCTGTGAGGAAGCTTCTAAATTTGTTGCGCCACAACAACGATGACAGTAGAACAGCGAGCCACTACCACGCCCGTATTCCTCTAAATGAAGCCTACTCCGTTTTGAAAAATGACAATGCAGGCGTACCCGTCTTATATGAACAGCGCCTCCCTAATCGTTGCCTGAGCGTCCGTACTACCAAGCTCACCCTGCGTCATTTGGGGAAGGGAAGTGCCGTTGAACCCCCCCCCCTCCCCCCCCCCCCCCCCCGCACGAAATAAAATCCTAGCTACGCCACTGTAGCCTATGCTTGGGTATCTTTTTAGCAATCTTTAGGCAAGCTTTTATTTAACATAAAAAGATAAGACAGATGTTCGCACCGTACAGCGTTCTTAGCAGCAGAGAGGGAAAACCAACATGTGGTTCCACCGTCACTGTATTTATTGTTGGTTGGCATTGCCAAGCAGTGCCAACCGGTTGTTTAATTGCCAAGCAGTGCATAGTATGCCTTAAGCTGATGAAACCATTAATGAATAAAATTAATGTAAACCAAGAATTTTCCTTGGTAAGTGTGCAATCCGCAACTTCTGGCTTTAATTAGTAATTCCTGAACATTTGCTTACAGATGGCGCAGTTATTTTGTAGAGTAGAAGCATTAAAAAAGTATATGCAAGTTTTTTACAACCGCAGAAATATAAGGGAACATGGGAAGGCTTTAAGTGACTTAAAAGAACGATGTCATCGGTGTGACGTCGGCAATCGGCAGAGACAGAGCAAGGTTCTAGGAAATTGCTTAGTTGAGCACTATGTGAACAAATATAGCGAACTAAAAAAAATGATTATAATGCAATTAAACGCAAAGGTGCAAGAGCTGGACAAGAATGACGAAAATAATCCCTGGAGAATGGGAACAAGAGGGTCAAAGACAAACATAAATCCCCAAACACAGCTAGGTGACCGGCGAGCGACTGAAAAAATCCGCCTTGTACGGGTATCGAACCCGGGACCTCTCCATTACAAGTGGAGCGCTCTACGAACTGAGCTAACCAAGGTTTTTTTTTTTTTTTGTTTATTGCCTTTTTTTGGCTTAGGTGACAAACACATATCACATACAATAAAAAGGTTAAAACAAAAACCTCAAAGGCTATTGTGCACATACATATATCAAACTCATCAAACACCTTCACAGACCAGTGATGGTCGCCAGCTCCTCAAGAAGTCACAAAAAATCTGGGGGTGGCTGCTGAACCTTAAACATTTCTTTCAAAAAACACATCATTTCAACAAAATACTTGTGTGCGGGACGCACGTCGACGTCCGCGTGTCTTACAGCCGTGCGGCAGCGCCACAAGCTGTTGAGACCGACCAGCATGATCATGTCAAATGGTACAATGTTGCCTCGTACATCAACAGGCAAATAACGAATTCCGTGAGGTGTTAACGGTAGGTCCTTTTTAAGGGTCATTTGAAGGACGTCCCAAAGGAACACTGCGTCCCAGCAGTTAAGAAAAACATGTTCTATTGTCTCTGGCATTTTGCAAAGTAAACAGGTTACAGGCCATGCGACGGGAATACCTTTTTCCTCTAAGAAAACTTTGACCGGCACGGTTTCACTGTGTAATATAAAGAAAAAAAGATTTCGTGAAGGCGGGTACCCTCATTTGCTTGACACGCTTCAAAACATCTTGACCGCTTTCTGCACTGTACAGGGAACGGTACAGTGGAGTGGGTAAAAGGGAAACGATCAAGTCTTTGGTCAAACGCTTTCGCGACGCACTGGACAAATACTCGAGCGAAAACCGCGTTGCCAAGAACCGATAAGCAGACACAACTTCCTTCAGAAAACCGCGTATGCCATAACTGGAATGCCATATCAGTCGAGACAATAAATTCGGGCAATGCTCTGCATAGCCGCACCTGAATGACTGAACGCAGTAGAGGGTTCTTCAGGTCCCTTAGAAAACAAAACTTATTAACGAGTTGTCTGACAAAAAGATGCGACAGACCCAGCCCACCATCCTTGACACGCCGAAAGAGATTAGTTCGGCTTGTTCTCTCCCAAGTCGAGCTCCAAATAAACACAGCAAAAACACGGTGTATGCGCTGGATGTTGACCCGCGAGCAGTGCAGTACCTGCAGCACGTACCAGACCTTCGCAGCTAAAAAGGCGTTGCACACTGAGGCACGCGCAAACATTGAAAAGCCTCTCCCCCCCCTTATCTGCCCTTGCGCGCCAGCGCTTGAGCTTCTTCATTCCAATACTCCTCGCTGGCGCGGTATTGTTCCAGTGGAACTCCAAGATACCGCACTGGCGTGTCAGACCACGTGACACGTTCAAAAACAGTGGGCTTGGCGGGCCAATCTCCATGCCAAAACCCCTGACACAGTTTTGCCAATTTACAGCACCGTACGTGCTCTCGCAGAACTTCTCTGTTAGTTCTACGGCTTTCTTTACACTCTCTTGGTCAGTACAAAAAATAGCCACATCATCGGCATATGCCAAAAAACGAACCTCGGTTGCTTGTAAATTAAAGCCGCGTATATGCCCACTACGTAACACACTCAAACAATACGGTTCTAGAAAAATACAAAACAGCAGCGGCGAAAGCGGGCATCCCTGCAGCACAGAAGAATAAACTGGGATACGTTCACTCACACTCTTATTCACAACCAGACGGGTGGCGCAGTTAAGGTAAGCCATGCGTACCCCATCGCACAGCACCGAACCTAAATTAACATATTCTAAGATGGAAAAAAGAATTTCGACGCGGTCAAAGACTTTCTCGAGGTCTATCTGTAGCAGCGCAACCTTTTGTTGGAAATCGTCGCAACACTCCAAAATGCTTCGCGCTACATGCACGTTTGTAACAATTGTCCTCCCCTTAATACCACAGTTCTGGTGAGGACCGACTATAAGGTTGATCACGCCTTGTAGTCGTTCCGCCAGCACCTTCATCAAAATCTTGTAGTCCACATTCGACAGAGTAATCGGGCGCACGCTCCAACCGAGCGTAGCTTAACTCGATCCTCGCTCTTGGGGATTAAAACAGTATGAGTAGACAAAAAAGACGGGGGTAAAACATTAAGTCGGAACGCCTCGGAAAAAACACAGTGCAAAAGAAGGAGCCTACACGATCTTTAAACACTTTATAAAACTCCGCTCCGAAACCATCAGGCCCAAGCGATTTCCCCCCCTTCAAATCGTCTATTGCCTTTTCGACTTCACCTAACGTGATAGGCTGTTCTAGCCCGTCTGCCAGCTTCGGCATGAACGGTAAAAAAAAACTCCGAAAATCGTCCCTCTTGGGTGCGCAATAACTAAAAAGTCCTTCGTAATGCTCAACAAACGCTTTTTCGATGCTTTCCTTGTCACTAGACAACGTACCCCAATACAGAATTTCACTTATCTCGGATTTGGCGGCATATCTTCTTTCAATGCCAACTGCCCTTTTGGTGGGAATCTCCCCATCAGATATGCGTTTCAAACGCGCCCGTACAACTGCCCCCTGATACTGATCAGTATCTAGCGCTTCTAGACTTACTGATTACCAGCTGAACGTTAGGAAAACCGACGATTAGAGAAAGAAACACACTGCTGGCTGGTAATCAGTAAGCATGGATAACCAACCGGCTCAGCTACAGGCCATCACCGCTTCTAGACGTTTCTTTAGACTGACGATGTCATCAGCGAAGAGCCCAGGCGATAAACATTCTTCGTGCAATAACTCTTACAGCAGGCCATCTAGTTCCTGCCCTACCTTTTCCTTCTGGTGTTTCAAAATACTTGAGCGTTCAAGCGCTATCATTTTTACATTCTGTTTAAAAAGATCCCACTTTACACCAAAATCGTTCTCCTTGGCCCTTGCCAACTCGTCTAGACTTTGACGAACTGAATTAACGAAATATTCATCGCCAAGGAGCTTAGTCTTACATTTCCAGAGATTCCAATCAAACTCTTTCGGCTGCTCCTTAGATGCCCATAGCATAAGAGAAACGAGGCAGTGGTCACTATATGACACATGATCAACAGCATACTTTTTACACAATCTCAGCAATTCAAAAGAAACATACACTCTGTCAAGGCGAGCGTGACTTGCTCCTTGAAAGTGTGTAAAGAGCAGAACCCCTCCACCAGACACGCAGTTGGCAACGTCTTCTAGGCCGTAGCGTTCGACCATACCCCCCAAAAGTAAAGCACTTTCATCATGAAACCTTCTGCTGTTAGACCGATCACGAGGCACGCACACACAATTAAAGTCCCCTAGCAAAATAACACGCCGATCGGTCCGAACATACTTCTCAAAACTCTAAAAAAAAACCAATCTTTCATCGATTCTATCCGGTGCGTAAATGCACAAATCACGGAAAATGTTACTAGAAAAAGAAAAATCACAGAGGACAAAACGCCCTGACTCATCACTAATAACCTGCTCTACAGTAAACAAACCCTTGCGCAAAAACAAGACACCCGCCAGACGTTCCGACAGCGTGACTAACACAAACGTCGTACCGCGACTCAAACATCCACACCATGTTCTCCGTCTGTCTTTCGCCTTCCATCTTTGTCTCTTGAACCGCCACAATATTGAGGTCGTGCTCAATAAACAGGCGGCTTAGTTGGCACTGCCAGAGCCTTGAACACAGTCCCCGTACGTTTAAAGTGCCCACGCGCAAAGACTTTTCTAGCGTGCTTAAATTCTAGGTTGGACCAACCGGAAAGAGCTGCGTTTAGAAAAAAACAACTGTGTGAAGAAGCCTTTTACAACAGTAGACGTGACAACTCAGTTCGGTTGCTACTCCCTGCGCTGGCGAGACCTCGACCGTTCACGGTTAAGTCCCCCGTTGCCAACCCACTCGCGCTCGAGGCGTCGCAGTTCCCTGTCGGCGATCTTGGAGCTTACGCCTTCGTGCCGTCGCCTCGCCGCTCCGGTCTCCGCGTCCTTGAGTCTGCCGTCGACGCCACCTTCGCCCTCCTTGGGCTTGCCGTCGTCGTCACCCTGGACCTTGACTTCGTCATGAACGGTAGTCCCGACGTCTTCGTCGACATGGTCCTTGCCGTCATCGTCCCCCGGCACGGCGGTTGCCGCTGGGAGGTCTGGAGTGTCCGTCACCTTTTCAGCCGCGACTTTTTCGACTACCTCGGGGGCCGCCTTTTCGTTTGATGCCCCGGGCGAGGGTCTTGGTTTCGCCTCATCACAGACTCCATCGTTCTCTGCGGGCCCACCCTGGGTTTGCTGGTCTGTCGGCGTCGTCGCTGTTGCTGCTCTCTGGGCCTCGAACACGTCCATGCACTCGGCGTCGTCCGACACCACGGCGGTGTTGTTGCCAGTGACGCGGGCGTACGTCTTCACGCACGACGAGGCCTCGTGTCCGAAGGTCTGGCACAGGTTACACCGGGGCACCCTGCAGTCTCGGCGTATGTGCCCCGCTCGGTGGCACCGGAGGCAGATCGGCGCACGACCAGGGACGACGACCAGGACGTTCCCCCCGCGGATCCGCAGCTGGTGTAGGAGGTTCTCCAGGGAAACGCCGTCCTTCAGCGTAATCCGCATCACCAGCGTGGTGGACTCGACGTCGACAAAGCCTGGCACTTTCCACTTTTCCCGGATGATTTCCTTGACCGAGCCGAAGGGCTTGAAGGCACGACGCACCGTGTTCACTGGGACGTCGAACGTTACCCAGTGGAGCTTGATGCGCAGCTCCCTCCGACTCGGGTCTACGAGATGGCAAAAGCGGCCCTTTACTTGTAAGCTGCCTGCTTCCAAAAGCTTGGTCTTTGCTTCCAGTGAATGAAGTTTCAACAGCCAGACGTGGCTCATGTGGAAGGCCCCCAGACTAGCCACGCCTGGCAAAGCTCCCACCTTGTCCAACGGTTCACGGAAGTCTTCAATCCGGTAGGGTCTTCCTTGAACATCAGCGTGAAGAATCACGCTGAGCTTAGCAGCGTCTCCGGCGGGCAGAGCAGGCAACAGTAGACGGTAATCATTTGGCGGAAAAGAAACGGCCGCCGCCTCTTTCGGGGAGTGATAGCGCCGTCCGCTCTGGCTGAAAGCCGGAAGTGGAATCGAGCTAACCAGGGGTTAGCTTTCTTGTTGAGGCATGTGCCACAAGTTATGTTTGAAAAGAAACTTGTACTGTTTACTTTTAGGGGAAGCACAACAACCCCTCCAGCCCTGGCTGGTGGCACACTTCTGGAAGTCTAGCTTTAGAACGGAGGAGAAATGCAATTAAGGTCTGACAATGACCCTACAGGTGATGATTGTGAAGTCTTATTTCAGCTGTCTTGACTTGTCCGTGAGCTTCCTACAATACAGCTTAAGATCTGCAGCTGCATAATCATTTCTTTTGCCACAAAACCTATCATGTTTTTTTCTTTCTCATTTAACCAGTGGGTAAGGACTTACCCTCCATTTGTCCCAACGAGCGTTGTAAAGTACTTAATTAGAAGTAAATGTAAATTGGAAACTAAGTACTCTTGTTGTACCTAAGGTACAAACCTCGTTACTCTTGTCGTACTTGCATTTCTTGATATATGTACAGAGCGCGACACTGGTAGCGCGAGCAAGCGATCGCTGGTTTTTCCAGTTTTTCTCTTTGAAACCAAGAGATGTCATCCAAGTTATTATTGCTACGGAAAGAGCTGATTTAGTTCTATAATCTAAGCGATACAATTTCGTGCTCGCTAATACTATGTAGAAGTAAAATGCGAAAATGCGCCGATGTCGTGTTCGCGCTAACAGTGTCGCGATGTGTACCTATAAAGGTTTTGCAGTAAATTGCAGTTATGTAAAATTACTTTTTGCAGGGTTTACTATTGATTCACGCCATTTCATCGAAACACGTTCTAGAGAACGTGCACGTTTTATCGAAACCCGGTTTAGAGCAAGCGGTGCTTCAATTTAGAAATGCCGTTGAACGAGAAGAGGTCACTGCTTATAAAAAAAGATGAGACAGTTACCACTCCCCTTAATGCCGAATTAGAGGGCAGCACTTAAGGAGGAGGAGAGAAGGATACGGAGGGTAGGGTATGCCCCTCCCCTCCCCCTCTCTCCTCTTATTTAGCTAGAAATTTTCCCTACATTTCCTGCTAAATTCAGCGGAAAAAAATTCCCCGCAAAATTTAGCGGGGGATTTTTCCACAAAATTTAGTGAGAAAAGTTTCCCCTAAATTTAGCGGGAAAATTATTCTGCTAAATATAACAGGGAAATTTTTCCGCTAAATTTAGCCTGAAAATTTTCCGCTAAGCATAACGAGAAAAATTATCCGCTAAATTTAGCGGGGAACGTTTTCCGCTAAATCTAGCGGGGAATTTTTCCGCTAAATTTAGCGGAAGAAATTCCCTCCTCCTCCTCCTTCCTCGTAACCCTCGTGACTCACACCTGACGTCACATGTGACGTCATTATGGAAAACGTCCCATAATGCAACGCGCGGTTATGCCGACGGCGACGGCGACGCCGCTCATGCCGGATAGTGGCGCCCAAGAGCTGCGCTCTAAAAGGCTCCCCTATCTTCGCGCGTGTATCAGTAGGGATCGTGTTAACTCCCCTAGGCCCCCCCCCCCCCCCCCCCCCACCCCCACCTTCCCCCCATTTACGCTGCTTCGCTGCGACAGTCTGCAGCGGGTCATTACAAAATGTTAACCGCGGCCGAACTCGCAAAAAGGAGGCTCATCGACATTTTTTCTAGACTGACCTTTCTACTAGGCGATTCGATTAACTGGGAATGATAAAACGGCGTTCGCTAAAACGAGCTTATTTAAACCGCATACCTCCCTTTTTTGCAGTTACTTATCTATCCACTTGAGCAAAAGGTATAAACCAATAATTGTGAAGTATTAACACTATAAGGTGGAGCGGCAATGAAAATTTACTCAGATATTATCAATATAAAGATAAATAGTCTATTTTGCTTAGCATTACCCCTAGGTTCACTTTGACAGCATAAGGCTCTGTGTGATCTTCGTTTTTGCACATGCAATTAATGAATCGTCATAACTAATGTTGTTTTGACATAATGACACACGCAAGTTACCCTTGGCTTTTTGTTCAAGTGATAAATATTGCCGCGCGCAGGTAACCGAATAGGCATCGCGCTCGTGGCCTGACGATTCGTCTTCCGGTTTCCGAAGTGGAAAGACGCATCGTCATAAGCTCCGTGGAACGGTTCCGTGAGCCGATTCGTGGCCCAGATAGTGCGTTTAATGCCCTCCGCTACGTGGCGCTTTTCTGTTATTTGGTTAAAATTAGTTAGAACTCTTTCTGTGAGAAGTGTTTATTTTTTAAATTGTTACGCTTTAGAATTATGTAAAGTGCTTAAAACGACTAAATGGTTTTAATCTAATACGTCACAAAAAAAAAAAAAAACACGTGATGAATGGCGCTTCCCATGGGGTGCCGTGGGCCTGCCCGTCTGCTTGCCTGCACGCCGTCGCATCAGCATCATTCTGCATGGCCTCTGCTCGTCCGCGCGTCGTTCGTCTGTGCGTCGGTCGTCCGTGCCGTGGGTGCCGTCCGTCTGTGCTTTCTGCTGCAGCGTGTTCGGTCGGCTTTGTATCAAACAAGGTGACGCATTACCGCCCGCTTGCTCGCATGCTCGGTGTGAATTTGTGGAGCCGAGCGGCTTAAGCTTGTCGCTCTGTTGTTTCCGTCGGGCTGTCGGGTAGCAATCGTGTATGTACACCTCGATTTTCGATGAGATCGTTTTGTAAAAGAACTTGACTTATGACCCTGCGCACGACATTGTCTATGAATTTACAAATAACGGTGTCGGACGGTGTTGCAGATAGAGCCTTGGTTGTTGTGCTCTCTGGAATTTCCAGGAGGTGGGTCCAGTTCCTTGCATACACTGTTGTACACACTTCAACACCGTCTTTTGTTATCCGCAGTCTCTTCATTCCTCTTGTTGCGGGAGCTTAATACTGTTGGCTTCACAGTAAAGGCTGTGGTTTGTGATCTGGGGGCTTCAAACGTAAGCTTGGCCAACCAACTTCGTTTGTCTGTTCATAAACCATTTTTGAAGTTGACAACGAACATGTTTACTTTACCTTTGATGTTCCGCATCTCATAAAAAAACCAGGAACAATCTCCAAGCGCGCAAATTTCGCATTGAAAATGGGGTCATTGAGCAGACTCATATTGTTGAAATTCATCGTTCTACATACGAGATGAGGTTGCGATTGGCTCTAAAACTTACTGAGAGACACATTTCTCAAAACCCTTTGAGTAACATGAAAGTAAAGCGTACCGCAAAGGTATTGAGTGTTTCAGTCTGTCTCGCAGTCCTATCCTTTGTTTATGCTACGGTGCCTGGATCGCGTCTTCGACTGGTGTGTTTAGCGTCCTATCCCGCCCATACATCAAAAGTGGTCCCAATATGGCAACAAATGACGTCACAGAAGCCGGAGTGTCATGCTGTTGCCTGTCGCGATCCTGGCGGTTGGCCGTAGAAATGCTGGCGAAAAGCACGAGCGAACGCGAGTGTCGCTGTCGTCACGGCGTCCCAGGCGTCCCAACTTTCGGCTGCTCCAGCTTACGTGAACTGTCACGGTGGAGAGCGACCTGCAGCAGAACAGGCGTCTGCCAGACGTACCACAACTGTTGGGACGCCGCCAGGGTCGGGACCGGCGACAGCATGACACTTTTATGACGTCATCAGGCGGAAATCGAGGGACCACTTTTTTGGCCGCGGTAAACACACCAGTCGGAGACGCTCTCCAGGCACCATGTTTATGCCAAGGAGCTTCCTGAGGCAGCCATGGCTACAGCTTATTTCTGCGAGAGGGTGGACAGACTTTTGATTGCCTTAATAGCTCACAATTGAAGAAGACAGGGCAGAAGTTGCGTCAAGCCATTCTGAAAGGAGAATCTGGGGTGCTCGATTTCCTTCACGAGCAACTCGGATGGATTTCAGCGTGGGAGTTCTCAAGTAGGAGGTAACCACAAACCATCATAGGGTGGTAAGTTACTATAAAGAGTGTTCTTATGCTCTGGAAGGAGATTTCAGACAGCCATGACTTTAAGTTCTTACTTACACGATGCCTGCAGCAAGACCCACTTAAGAACGTCTTTGGAGCCATATGAAAAATGCTGGGCTGCAATACAAACCTAAATGTGTATCAGTTCACCTCAGGACTAAAACACATACGGGTAAAGAAACTGTTCAAACTGTCCAACAATGGAAACGTAGAGTCTGACAAGGCTGACCTCTTGAAGGAGTTGCCAATAGTTTTGCATCATGAAAGTTCAATTGCAGACAATGTGGCATGTCTTTCAATTGATAACTTCCCGCCACTAGAGGATATTTCTGAGCTGACATCCGACATCAAGTCTAACAGAATTGATGAATCGTGTACTTATTACGTTGAGGTCTATTTGATCAAGCATTTCATTGAACAGACAACTCACAGTTGTGGCTGTTCTCAGCTGCTGAGGGAAGAGTCTGACAATTTGACCAGGCCTCACCAGTACTTTCTTGTGTTGAAAGCACACCATGTGCCTGGAAAACTCTCCGGGAACCTAGTACTACTATCACAG